TCGCACGTTGGATAAGTTTTGATGTGTTTAATTCCGCTGTCAGGAATCAGTCGCATATTGACGGCCTACGAGATCTGCCAATCGCAGCTCTCAATTGGCGTCACATCACGTCTAATCGGATGCGTCAAGTGATACCAACTATCTGGGTTGCCTTAAACCTTCGATCCCACTATCATGACGTGCGGGAGGCGATCCCACGTTGTGAAAGGCGATGAATGCAAGGCAGCCGAGTTGTGATGTATCAGAAAATGTCATCCTTCCAAGAACCCCTTGTGCAAAAGGAGTTGAAGAGAGGACATGCCGGGTCCGTAGGGCTTGTGGTACACAAATGCCGAGGATCTCCTGGTAACTACTGATAAGCTTGATTTATGAGTGGGTGTTTACTAATAATTCTTGGCCTGGTTTGGGGATTTGGGAGCATCTTGGCTTGTGAGAGTTGCGATGAGACGTCATTCCCGTCAGATGCCTGTTGCATGTGAAGACCAACGGTCCTCGGATATCCTTAGCTTTACTGAGTTTACTCGAATTAAGTTGAGAATGATAATTAGTCCAGCTCGCTAATCGTGCCAGTCGACAGCGGATTCTAGGATGTTACCCTCACGGAGAGTCCGTCAATTCAACACAAGCTCGGTGGTAGTCGGTCTCCGTCTTCCATGATTGCTACCAATGGGCATACGCATTGACTCATCACTCTCCTAGACTACCACTCACGATATGGCTACCTATTGCTCACTGCACTGTGGCCAACAAGCGAGCCCCTCTCCGGTCGGGTCAACGGACAGCCGTGTTGACAGTTGAGGGCAAATGACCTCGTGGAACGGAAGGTTCGGAGTCGCGAAATTGCGAAATGATTCCATAAGTTAACGTTTACATCGAATTATATCCACCAGCGGAATTAACCATAAGTTGACAGTTTATGGTTATTCAACTCTTGAGAGACAAAAGTGCAGCGACTTATATCAAGTGAAAACGTGCGTGATTCTTTGATGACGACACGGTCGACTCTGAGCTCTGATGCTACTACCTAACGCGGAATTAGTGCTGACTTTCTCGACGATGAATGAATAATCATGGAATGAAACTGTCAAATAAGAGTCTAGAATCTCCCCAAGCCCAAGCCAGACGTTAGTGTCCCTCTCTGTCCGCCACGGAGCCGAGTGAGGTGTTAACCCCGTCTGTCTCCGCCGCCCGCACTATCGCCCTACCTACCTACCTAAATCGAAGAATCACAAGGACGTGCATCCCCGGGATTTTAGGGGCGTCTAGGGCGTCTGGGCGCTGTCAGCTCGGATCGTTTTCTCAGTAGTGCTGGCGTTGGTGCCAAGGCAGGCATCACTCTAGTTGGTTTTTAAGGGATCATCAATACGACAAACAACTAGCAGACCTCCACTACCTCCACTGGCCTGCCCTGCCCGCCCTGCCCGCCCTGATCAGAAGTGCCCTGGAACTCTGAACCCCCCACCCTCCAATTAGTCGAGTCCATCCACCTCATCTTCCTCTCCAACTCAATCACAGACCAAACGTTCTGCGTCTTTTCTCACCTTATGTTTCACAAAACCAGCCTTCTCAGCCTCTTCTTGGCTTTTTGAGGGCTTCACGACAGGTTCTCTGTCTACAGCTGCATGACTTGACGTTACGCATTTCCTCACCTTGCATTGCAGTCGAGGTTTGGTCAGCCTGCCTTACCGCACCCGCATCCGTATCGCATCCAACGTTGATGGCCTCGTCCGCATTCCGTTCATCCCTTGTCCGAGCCCGAGTCCGCGGATTCTCCGTACATCATTTGCCTGGCCAATTCCACGTTTTTCGAACATCGTAAACAATCTATCGTTGTCGCCATCTTTGACTTGATCTTACCTTCAAGACGATACAACGATGTCGGGCTACCTCGAGGGCATGGCCCTCGGATTCGGCTACAATGTATCTGAGGGGCTTGATTCTGCGCAACAGTCCACAGCATCGCCTTCATCCAATACCCAGCAAGATGCTTCGTCCCACACCCAACCAAATTCTTTTCAAGGCAACGTTACTGTCTATCAGACAACAGGGCCTGACGCCCATACAAGCCCAATCCACCTGCCCGGAAGCAATACGCCCGCCCTGAATCCGCGATCATGCGTAACCTGCCGCCGTCGGAAAGTTCGATGCGACAAGCAGATGCCGTGTTCCAACTGTCGCCGAGCACAGATTCCCTGCGTCTTCCCCGCCCCCGGAAGAGCGCCGCGACAGCCGCGCCGAAAAGACCCAAACGCGCCCGCCAAGAACTCCAGTCAGCGCGAGATAGAATTGATGAAGAGGCTTAGGAAGTTGGAGGGCATTGTGGAAGAGCTAAGCGGTCAGATTGAGGTTGAGTCTGGCGGTAAAGGCCCCTCGTCAACCAATTCACCTGAGGCGCATGCAGGTCAAAGCACATCGTTTGATGCCTCGGCGCATAACACTCAAAGACAATCGTCGAATGCAGGGTCTCACGCAGGCAACATTGGAAGGACTGATGACAGCCCAAGGGGGAGTGATGCTACAAGCGAACAGAGCGAGACTGCTCGCAAGAATATGCATAAGAAGTTTGGACGACTGGTTTTGAGCGACACTGGAGGAAGCCAAAGATACGTTAGTCATGGTTTTTGGTCGAAACTCAATGACGAGGTTGGTCAGTCCCTAGTATTGTTTCGAATGTTTGACTGACTATGTCTACCAGCTCGATTCAATACGTGAAGAGACTCAGAAGCTTACTGATGAAGATTTGGATGAGTCTGAGGAGGATGAAACTCCAGATACCTCACCCGCATCCGCACTCTCGGGAAATCACAACGCCTGGATATTCGGTTATCGCTCTGCGGACGTGGATCTCGATAAATACTGGCCCCTGCCTTCCCATATACCATTCCTATGGTCTGTCTATCAGGAGAATGTGGAACCGTTGCTCAAGGTCCTGCACATTCCAACCATGGAGCCCATCTTTCGAGATGCGCGAAAAGATCACAAACAACTGTCTCCTGCAAACGAGGCGCTCGTCTGGTCAATATACTACGCTGCACTTACATCACTAGAACCTGACGAGGTAAGAAGACTCCCTTAACTCAAAAACGGAGAATACTAACTTACGGACTCAGGTGCGAGCTAATCTTGGCCTCAACAAGGAGGATGTTGTTGTGCAGTACCGTTTTGCAGTCGAACAAGCCCTCGCGAAAGCCAACTTCCTGAACTCATTGGAGACTCCAATCATGCAAGCGTTGATCATCTTTATTCTCGTGGTCAAAGGCCAAGATGGAAGTCGTTTCTGTTGGTCTTTAACCGGGTTGGTAGCGCACCTCGCTCAAGGCATGGGCCTCCATCGCGATGGGTCGCACTTCGACCTAAGTCCCTTTGAAACTGAGATGCGAAGGCGTCTCTGGTGGGCGTTACTTCTATTGGATCTTAGATCAGCCGATGAGCTGGGTACTGATCTTATCATCCAAGACTTTAATTATGATACACAGATGCCGAGCAATATCAATGATACTGATATCAAGCCCGACTCAACTGAGGCCCCAGAGCCCAGAGAAGGTCACTCTGACTGTTCGCTCGCACTTGTTCGTTTCGAAATTGCTGGCTTTGGAAGGCGTCTGGTTCGACTTTCATCCGCCTCGATGTCATTCTGCCCCCAAGGAATGCCTTACAGGGACACCAGCCTCGCGGAGCGAGAACGCATGCTCATCGAGGTTTACAATAGAGTTGAGGAAAAGTTTTTGAAACACCACACTGGTGATTCTGATCCGTTGCATTGGATGGCTGCTTCAATTGCGCGCATCATTATGGCCAAGATGACGTTAGTGATTTACCAGCCGGTCCTCTTCCCAGGCTCCGAGGGTGAAGGTACACTTTCGGAAGAGGCAAAAGAACGTGCTTACGTTGCAGCGATTGAGATTGCGGAATACAATCACATCCTGAATAACGACTCGAGGTCTAAGCAGTTTAGGTGGCTGTTCAAAACCTACACCAACTGGTCGGCTATGGCCTACTTCCTCATCGCCAGTTGCCGTCGGCGGTGGACTCCTCTTGTGGAACGCGGGTGGGAAGCTGTCAGTGGATACGAGGGTGGACCAGGACAACTGGTGCGATCTGCCGAATACGCAACTGTCGTGATGCCTATCAGGAAACTCTACATGAGAGCCCAAAGGCACCGCGCAGCAGAAATTACTCGACTTCGCGGAAATCCTGAAGAAGCGCGTCGGCTGGAATTCGAAGAGAGGACGAACCCCAGATATCAGGCTAGATTTGGGCAAGATGCGGACGGTGCAGCAAACAAGATGGAGGAAATCAGAGAGAAATGGAAGGCTCTGGTGCGATCTGACGGCAGCAACGTACCAATCTCGACGCCAGCTGAGCTGAGCCCTGTCATGCCACCGTCGATGCTCCAGCCAAAACAAGAACAAACACCATCCCGCCCTCGGACACCATCAGCCTACGACGTTCCTGGAACGCTCGATCTCTCTGATACGACCATGGGCTACATGAATGACCTAATGGCAGACACCACACCCTTCCCCATGGTGAATTTCTGGCCACTGCAGGACGTCGGCTCTGTTCAAATCAAGGCAATGGGTACGGGAATGACGCCAATGCAAAACACGTCTCAGTTACCGCAAGATGCGACACAACCAGGAGATACTGGCCAACATTTCTCACCACAGACCGTGCAATTCACCAAGGACGACAACCCACCGCCTTACCTATGGGGCGGGCAGTTCCCGTCGATAAACTCAAACTTTGATAATACAGGCTTGGACGATGTTGATATGCTCGGAGATGACTTCAACTGGCATACCTGGAGCCAGAATGTTCGCGGTTTGTAGATAGGATCGTACTGAGATACACGGTCACTGACAGACTGTGTTGCCAGATAGTCGATATTGATTGATCATCGGGAGTGTATTGGGAGTAACTAACTACCTTGCCTGTCTATTATGTATGATACCCGGCGAAATAAGCATGAGGTGGACGTCATTAATTCTAGACCATCTTCAATAAGGACCCATCCCTGACAGGGGATGATCGTGCTGTACGTGGCCTGTTGCTTGTAGAAATGTCCTCATGTGGCGGTCCGGGCTCTCCCACCCGCCACGCGTATGTTCAAGAAAAAATCTTGCCAGGTAATGGTTGTTCACGTAGGGAACAACGTCTCTCGCCACTAGCAATTCCTGATTGTTGTGCCCGAAGCAACTGGCCTCAGCCTTCGAATGATGAAATCGATCAAACTCATAAAGTCCATAAACCGCAGGGCATATGCCCGCTCTGAGGAGGAGGGTAGTCAGCAACAAACGGTACATCCGCCCGTTTCCGTCTAGAAAGGGGCGGATCAGGATAAAGCGCTGGCAGAATCGGCTGGCATCGCAGATCCAATTATAGACAGCCTCCTTTGTGAGCTGTTGCATATGTGCAGGGTCCATTTCCACCACGAGGTCGTTGATCATGCTGGGCATAGCAGTAGCGATATCGGCTGAGTTCAAGAAACGCATGTCGTTGGGCGGGTTCCATTCGCGATATTTCCCGCTGTAGGCCGTCCAAGGTATTTGCGGGTCGATATCGATCTTGTAGGTAAGAATGTGGTGTGCCTCCTTCAAGGTGGCCTCATCAAAGTCTTGTCCATCGAGGACGGTCTTTTGAATCAGGTACTTTGCAGCCTGGGCGAGCTGCAGTGTTTCCCGGTAACTTTGCAGGATACGTCCAGGCGACGCGGGGATGTTCCTGAATTCCAAGTGCTGTTTGATTTCTTCGTACTCATAATCGTTCTGAGTGATCTCTTCTGGGATCTGAAGCCTTTCCTCAAAGACTGCACAACAAAGTCTGTAGGTTGTTGGGAGACTTCCGCCTGTGTGCGCGATCATGTTTGATCCGTAGAGCATGCGACTGAGAACCTCCATTAAGTTATAGGGCTCTTTGTTCATGTGTCGGCTGAGGGCCATAACGAACCGAAAAGGTTCGATACTTTGCATTGCCATGCCGGCGGAAGGGTCAGGCTCCATCTTGAAAGCTGCCACGATAACGGAAGGGTTTAGTATATAGACTGTGGTTTGGAGAATGGAATATGCTGATGATATTTACCTAAGAGTTGAGAGAAAAAGCGTCGGTTTGAGAGAAAGAAAAGATTTGGGGGAGAGGGATGGAAAGGGAATGCATTTATAGGCACCTGAGGTAGGCCTGGGGAAGGGATTACTTGACTACAGACAAAGAAGGAGGAGAGCTCCCGGAATGGAAGTTTATGGTCTGAACTGGAAGTTTAGGTACCTACCCAGGAAGTCTTGGCTATGAAGTGAATGTAACTTGCCTAAAGCTTCCTGAATATGAGTGGTTGAGGATGGTTCTCGGAACTATGAGACGAAGTTTATGTCGAAGTTTAGAATAGGTACCTAAGCTTCCTAAATTATAATAGGTCAGGATAACTCTCTATTCTATAGAACGCGATCTTCCATCGATGATAGGGTATCTACGAAACTCAGAGTCTCGTGATGATGTATGGTGTTTCTCTTGCCTTGTTATTTACTGGCTCATTTACTTGCGTACGTGGATCAACCGTGAATGCAAATCTCATCCTCGATCTCATTCGACGGTTTCTATGTCTACGAAAACTCAGAGCTTCTCGCTATCAGCTTTAACCTTTCTCTCCTCTTCCAGGGCATCTTCTCTTCGCCTCACTTCAACATTGGTCGGTCCTCCTTTGCCAAAGTTCACAAGTACCACATGTTCCCAATCGCCACCTCTCTCGGAGCCCCGGAGTTCTGGTCCTGGTTTGTCCAATCCGAGAACTATTCTCTTGTCCTGTTTCCTAATGAAAAGATTATGAGGACTCATGACTTTCTCGCTCCATGGAATCATGGCTGTTTTGTGTGCTTGGCCCTTTTCTGTCTCTGCTGTCGGCACTCGGATCAGAAAGGACAGTAAGTTTTCTCTCTGTGCTGCGATTTGAAGAGATCTTTGTCCGTCTGATGATACTCTTGAGTTTTGGAAGACTTTGGCGACTAAACTTAGGAGGAAGTACTGCGGTGGGAATAGGATGATGCTATTTGTGGCGGCACGGGCGAGAAATGATTCCGCAGGTGCAAAGAGGGCTGCTGTGTGTTCGATGCCATTATCTGGCGTTGGTATGAGCATCTCGGATGGCATGTCACTTTGTGACTGAGGTAGCATGTAGAGATACATCTGCGTAGTGAAGCGCTTTGTGTTGGTGGCGGGTGTGATCCAGCGAGTAAAAGGGATGAGGCCATCTGTTCTCGATCAATAATCACTTAACAATAGTCTATGTCAATTCATTCTTACCCAAGTCTGGCTCAGCGCCTACTGACTTTAGCCACTCTAGGAACTTGACTTGGTTCCCATGTATCATTTTCCTTGCAGTGTCTCTATCCTCAACTGTCAAGTTTACCAGCTCGTTGTCCTTCTTGGCCAATAAGATACCAGTTTCTTCGAAAGTCTCTCTGATAGCACCAATTCTGTACGCGAGCCCATCGTGGTGTCTCTCTGGCGATTCTTCAGCCGGTATGATACCATCATGATAAGGGTCTAGATTTCCGCCGGGGAAGACATGCGCCGAGGCGAATGATGTAGAGGTGTGTACGCGGTGAAGTAGTAGGACCTCATTGACAGGCGAGACTAGGAGAACTGAAGAACTTGGGCGTGGCTCTGAAGGCGGATGTTTATTTCCCGAGGATGATTGGCTCCGTGAAGTCATAATAGGCAGATATATCCGGGGTATGAAGTTGAAGTTTTGTCTATGAGCGGTCAAGTTTGTGTCACGGAAGAGTTGACGCGACAGGGACCGTCGAGTAACATAAAATAACAAAGACATGAGGAGTAAATGGGTGTATAGATTCACATATGGCCAATCGATTTGTAGTATGACTATAAGTCAGTACTTGTAGGGGGCATGTGAGGTCTGAAGCGCGGTTCGAGTGACGTCGAGCCGAGGTCCCGCTTCGTGATGGCTTTGGATCGGCTCCGAATGACCGGCCGGCCACAGACCCCGCTTCGCCGGAGACAGATTCCCCTGACTCAAGAATGAGTAGAATATCTTGTTGATTTATTACTGAAGTCATGTTGGACTTTTAAAGACTACATATTAATGTCGTCAAGAATGGAGAGGGATGATGGTGGCGTTGCCAGTGTTTATAATATTATTGTAAAAACTACTGACTCTGACTTACACGAGACATAACCAAGCTTAGGTTTATACCAGCCAGTTTAAACTGTTAAGCAATTAAATGTTTCTTTAAGGCCAATTCTAGTCAGAGGTTAATGTCACATACATCTTAAACAGTTAGAAATTAAAGCCATACCAGCTATGTCAATTTAACTGCTTAATATAATACTTATTCCAGGGTAGGCTGGTATAAACTAAAGCCCTTAACACACAGATAGCTATTTAAAACTCCTATTATTGCCATACATAAATAGGCAACTAACACAAATGAGTTGAGAATTAAAATACAAGGACGAACTTGTCAAGTTCATGTCAACACACACAATCCTCAAAAACTGCAAAAAAGAAAGCACATCTCAATCATGAATATGTATTTATAGGAACAGCCCGATGCGGGGGTCGAACCCGCAACCTTGAGATTGTGAACTCTTAAGAGTCTCACGCTCTACCGATTGAGCTAACCGGGCGTGCTTCGCCGGGGATCAAGCCGGATTGATGGCAGCAGGAAGAGAAAGTTTATACTATATTGGCTGAGCCAAGATGTGTGTGTGATTGAGTTGCCTTGGTTGTGGTGTGGGTTCTACGAGTACTGCCAAGTGAGGGGCAGTGTTTGATTGGCTGACCCATTCTGCAGGTGCACTCCAGTCACGTGAACTGATCGCACCTTCCTCGTCTAGGGTTTGTCCCCCACGAAAAATCAAAATTGCCCTGAAAACTGAAGCTACTGTCAGTTTGTTCATCTCGAGACCCGAACCCGACCACGACCTCTTTCACGAAGTAACGCCACACTAACCCTTCAGACAAAATGGCCAAGATCTCGTAAGTAGCTCTCGAATACCCTCAGCAGCTTTCGCTTCGCTCTAGGTCTCTCGTCTCGCTTCTCGCCATCTCGAATTTTGTCTGTCTGTCTCCTCCGTCATGGCTTTGCTCCGATGCGCAAAACAGAGTTGGAAATTATTTCGAGTGCTGGTTTTGGCGGGGGAATCAGGGCGACCCAGTTTGTGCCTGCGCACACAACAAAAATAAACGGCATTATCATGAGAAATACGGCATCGCTGGGTTGACTGGTGACTACGAGATTCATTGCTCTTCTGCCTTGTATTTTTTCAATTCGATTTCGACGACAATCACTCGACAAACAAACGCTGTCCAAGCCTTGAAACCACCGACGGGCAGACTTTGGCAGAAAATTCGACATGACGAGAACGAGAACAAGAGACACATAGACGAAATGTCAAAGACATCAAAAACAAAGTACTGACTTGCTCTCACAGCCGTGGTGCCCCTGGTGGCAAGCTCAAGATGACCCTCGGTCTCCCTGTGTACGAAACCTCCCAGTACCGTACCCCCCGAACCAGCAAACTAACTCCCTCTCCAGCGGTGCCGTCATGAACTGCGCCGACAACTCGGGTGCCCGAAACCTCTACATCATCGCCGTCAAGGGTATCGGTGCCCGCCTGAACCGATTGCCCGCCGGTGGTGTCGGTGACATGGTCATGGCCACCGTCAAGAAGGGAAAGCCTGAGCTCCGAAAGAAGGTTCACCCCGCCGTCATCGTCCGACAGTCCAAGCCCTGGAAGCGATTCGACGGTGTCTTCCTGTACTTTGAGGACAACGCTGGTGTTGTATGTACAACCTTTGCACACGAGACGAGACAAATGGAGACTAACATGCATGTGTAGATCGTCAACCCCAAGGGTGAGATGAAGGGCTCTGCCATCACTGGCCCTGTCGGTAAGGAGGCTGCTGAGCTGTGGCCCGTAAGTTCTTCCCCCAACTTTCGACTCACATTCACTGTACTAACACCCCTCCCAGCGTATTGCCAGCAACTCCGGTGTCGTCATGTAAAGTGCTTGCTTGCGAAAGAGAATCAAGGAAAGACAAAAGGGCGTGCGGTGCGTGGTGGTTGGGTTTCTGTCCCGAATGCGATCAGATAGAGCGCGGTAAAGAAACATCTGTTCCCCCCCTCCCCCCAAAGAACCTCTTTTATTTATTTCCCCCTCTTCCAACAAGAATTGGCAAAGGGGCGAAAGACCGGGGTGAGGGTTGTTTTTTATCAAAATCGGGGCAATGTTCTTTTTATCTACTACTTTTAAAGTCGCTGGATTTGGCACAAGGCTCTTGCATTTCGGTTTGCGGCGTGTAAGGATGATTCACATACCAGGCATTCACATCAAGGACAAAACAAAAGTCACTTCAATCCATCTTCCCCTGGGCGTTGTGTTCTTTTTGGGTTAAACTATGTGCAATTCTTCTCGCCGTGAACCTGTGAAGTCATGAATTGTGATGTGCATGAACCTCTGTAGTCTAGACTGTCAAGTTGTACAATTCAATATGCCAACAGATCCGTAATCTATCGATGAAATATGCTGCAAATCCTGCCCACAAGTCTTGATTGGTCCAGAAGAGCTGGTTATGCATACTCTTGCTGTCCATGTTGCGCAGTATCTACCCTATAGAAATAACTGGTTTATTATTTACACCCTTTTCTTGCAATTGAGAGAGGTGTAGTGATAAAGACAATCTATCTATAGACAAAGTGGTCTATAATATTATCTGACATCACCACACCTGCTGTGGTGCCCTTTTTACTCTATTGTCGTTCAGATATTGCTGACTTCACTTCTCGTTTGTCATTGCGGTAGCAGACATCCCTTACGAGTCGTTTAATATTCGATCCATGTACAACACATTCACAACCACACCCAAACAGACACTAGATGTATATAACTTGACATTAAAATTCGTCTTTTAGGCGCTTGCTAATAAGCTCGCCACACCTTTTCTCACGCTATAAAACCTCCCAACTTGGACGAGTTGCCCATTTGATGCATGCCGAAACGATTATGCAAAGACCTCCCTCATTCCATCGCATGCATATATCCATGTATGATGAATGAACATGAAGAAAGAATAAAACAAAACTAAAAACAAGACAAGAAACGAACGATGGTTCTTCGCATCTAGTGTACAAGAGAAAAAATGTGCATCGGAATCTGCATCCAAAAAAACCTCTCTTGTTTGTTCCGTAGTATACAGAGTGGTTGTATGTATGTATATACCAGATGAGACTGCATGCCTCGTGGTGGGTCGTGAGAGTTACATTGAGCTACTGGGCTGAAGGGCCGGAAGCTCGAGACGTTATTGGTTTTTTTTCAATTCATATTCTTTTTTGGTTCTGTGTTTGTAGAAGTGTCGTCATTTGATGGCCAGTCTGGAGACCAGTCTCGTGCTCTCGTATCCTCTAGTAGGGGTACCCCATACCAGGCATTCCGTGGCTATGGCCGTGGCCGTGGTGCTGAGGGTGACCATGCATGAAAGGAGGAGGCGGGTTTCCAGCTTGATGAGGAGGTGGAGGGGGAGGGGGAAGATGTTGAGGGTGACCTGGATGCATTGGGGGTTGTTGCTGAAGATGCATCGGGTGAGGCGGGTGCTGACGTTGATGCTGGTGAGGGTGATACTGGTGAGGAGGAAGCTCATGCTGATGAGGGTGCATCGGCGGCGGTTGATGCAGCATGGGCGGTTGCTGTGGTGGCATCTGTGGTTGATCAGGCTGCATCTGCATCTTGAGAGAGGAAGACTCCCTCTTGATGGTGGCTTTGCCTTTAGGCTTATTGGGAGCGGCGACACCTGTTCTTTGCTCGGCTGCCGCTTGAGCAGCCTTCTTAGCCGCCAGGGTCGCCTTGCGTTTCTCAACGGCTCCAGCCATATTTCCATTGGCCCAACGATCTGCGATTGTGTTAGCATGTGAATAGAAAAGAGAAACAAGCTGGGGAACCTACTCTTCATCGATGCAGACATCTTCTCTGACTTGGTCATGGACTTATAATCTTTGGGTGTATCATCTCCATCGTCCCCTGCGACAGATGGGGGAGCGGAGGGAGGTCCTGTAGCAGGAACAGCAGCAGCAGGAGGAAGCGCGTGAGGTGCGGGTGTCCCTCCGTTCTTAGCATCCTGGCCAGACCTGACCACTTTGATCTTTTGAATCTTGCGGCTGTTTGGCACTTGTGCTGGTTCGACAGAGGGAGCTGGTGTAGAAGCACTAGATGGAACCTCAGTGGTGGTGGTACCTCCGCTGGTTCGCTTGCCCTTCTTCTTGGGCGGTGCCTGAGCCAACTCTTCAGCTTCGTTAGGATCGTCGCGGAAGCGCTTCTGTCGCTTGGGTCGGAACGAATATGATGACTCAACAGTGTGTCCAGATGCTTCAGAGGAGGCGGTGGTAGGGCGAGAGTCGCCATTGTCGGTGATCTCGTTTTCAGGCGTGACATCGGTATAGTAAGCCCTGGGAAGCTTGAGAGTAACAATGGCACGGCGGACAGGCGCCTTCTCTTCCTTCTCCTGCACTTCTTCTTCCTCTTGGGGTTCGTCATCGACAAACTCATTGGGATCAGCCTCTTCGTACTTGACGGCAGGTCTGGCCCGGCCACGACGAGTAGTCTTTGCGGGCGATTCTTGGACTGGTTCCTCGGCGTCTGGTGTAGGGGCAGGTTCTTCGGCAACAGCAGCATTCTTGCCACGACCACGCTTACGTCTAGTCTTGGGACCCGAAGCCTCATTGTCCGAGGCAGCCTCAGTGTTGAAGCTGACTGAAAGGTTGGTCTGAGGCTCATCCTCAGCGTTGGCGTTCTTGCGTCGACGACCACCACGAGTGGGAGGCACAGGTGTTGAGCTCCGACTGACATCCTGTGTTGCGGGATCGAAGAGCTGGACAGGCTTGCGCTGACGTTTGCCGACAACCTCATCCGTCTCAGTGGCCTTTGCGGTCTGTCGGGGCTGGTTTCGCAGAGATCGTCCACGCGTCATGATTCCGACCTGCTGTGTTTCGGGATTTTGCTTGCCAATCTTTGAAGGATGAGGATCGTATTCAAAGCCGTAGGCAGCTGCCATAATACGATCTTGTCCTTGAAGATAACGGGTCTCATTGAGACCTTCCTTGTCGCGAGACTTGTAGCCCTTGACAGCAAATTCAGGTTCTTCATAGTTAAGGCCATGCTGGTTGAGGTTGCGAGTGCGGGCTTCGTACTTGGCATCGGCAGCTCGTCGACGGAGCGAGTTCTCGTAATCGTCAACGACAGCGCCCAGGTCATTCCACTCATCCTGCCACTGAACCATGGAGACATTTACGGCCTCGAGGAGTTCGTACAGGTCTTCAGTTGACATGTCCTCGTAGTTCTCGAGGATGGAGATGTACTCCTCAGGGTCTCTGAGCTTTCTATATTTGTAATAACGTGTACGTCCTGGCACTTCCTGAGATTCAGAGACGTCAGCGTCATCACCATCATCTCCACCTGGAGCAGGTGAATTGAAAGCTGTAGGATCTGTGGAGTCGGCCACTGGAGAACCGCGTGTAGGAGTGTTCAGTGCGGGTGTAGGTGCTTCGAGGCCCGCCCCATCGACGATATCATACTGATCGTCCACCATGGGCTCCATGTCAGTGTCCTTTCCTTCAGGTGTTGTGTCATCATTGGCACCGTCTTCATCAGAGCGACCCTTCTTCTCTGGGTATAGCGTAAACTCCCCATCGACATAAGGCCTAAGATGTGACCAGCGGCCGGCGGGGGTAGGCTGTGGCATTGACTCCAGGGCAATTCGGGGAGCCACAGGCTTCTGGGGACTTGCTTTCGTGTCTGAGGGAGCAGAAGAAGCGGGGGTTTCGATGGTCTCAGTAGGAGGTGGAGTAGGAGCTTTCAATTCGGTAGGGCTCGAAATGGTGGTAGGCTCCTCTTGAGTGAGAGGAATCTCAGGTGAGTCTGGGATTGGAAGTTCGTCGGCAGTGGCCGGCACTTGTGCGGACTCTTTGTCTTTATTGTTTTCAACAGTCTCATTGTTCACCTTCTCATCCTTTGTCGAGTCGCCATTCACCTCCAAAGACGTGGGAACATCGTTGGAGGTGGCATTTTGGGGAGATGCGACGTTCTCAACAGACTGTCGAAGCTCTTCAGTCTCTCGAGCAGGTGATGGTGATGGTGGTTTTGAGGGTGACTTTGGCGGTGATGTAGAGCGAGCCCTTGAAGCAGAACGCGACGACGCAGCTGCGGGTAAAGCTGCTGTCGTGGACTTCTGTGCAGGTTCTTGTTCGGGCAATTGTGAAAGTTGTTCAGGTTCTTGTGTGAGCTCTGTGGGCTCTTGTGCAGACTTGCTTACATGCTCCTGCACAGGCTCCTGCACAGACTCCTGTACAAGCTCTTGTGTATCAAGAGGCGCGGCATCAGTCATTTCAACATCCTGAGTAGGATGCTCGTCCTGAGCAGAATCGATCTCCATGTTGTCCATTGCGTTCATCTTGTCGTCTTGCTGAAGGTCGATTAGCTTGTCCGTTGTAGGAAATTGATAGATGTTTGTGACGTGATGAGATGATTCTTGTTTGATGTTGGTATCTGTATCGGTGTTGATTGTGTTGGTGAGAGAGAGAGTAGGCTCAGAAGAATCTTGAGGAAGAGGTTCGGTAGTGGGGACTTCAGCAACTCCATTGACAGGCATAGGCACTGGCTCAGATGCGGGAACAATAGTTGAGTGAACAGATTCACTCTTATTGTTCTCGTCGGCTGTAATTGGCAGAGGTGCTATTGTCGGTGCTGGCACTGGCTCTGACACTGGCGCTGCCACTGCCTCTGTTATTACCTCTGGTTCCACTTCAACTGGACGAGAATCTGGCACTGCCGTGGCAGCTGGTTCAGATTGTGCATCTGCCACTGCCACTGCCACTGCTGGCAGCTTTACTTCATTAACATCTTCAGCAGCCGGTGACTTATGCGTTGTACTCAGTGATTCCGGCTCGGGTTCCACTTTGGGAAGTTTTTCGGCCTGCGGCTCTGTAGGTTGAGATACAGGTTCCTCGATAGAGGTTCGTGTAGGTTCCACAACAGAAGAAACTGTGTCTGAGGAGATTTGCTCAACCTGGGGAACGGGCAAGGTTTCTTTTGTTTCAAGCTGGTGTTGATTCTCATCAACTTGAGGAGCGGCAAATGCATCCTTGGTGGACTCATTATGGGGGGACTTTTTAGGTGAGTCCTTTGATGGCATCTTATTCTGGGGGGATGAGTTATTTGAAGCGGCGTCTCTCAGCTCAGAGTCATCGACATCTGAGTAATAGGCGCCGACTTCAATTGTGTCTTGGACGTCGTTATCATCATCTTGCAAGGCAGCTTGATGATATGCCTTGAGGTCACTGGATTTTCGAGTCGGATTCCTCCGGCGATTGGACGGGGTGTCAGCACCCATGGAGGCGCCTCGCCTCTTAGAGTCATTGCTGTAAAAGTCATCTGTGTCAAAGTTGACTTCAGACCTTCTCTTTTTGCCGCGTGCTGAAGAGGTGGAATTGGGGACGATGACATCGTCGTCGATGTGCTCAAACGTGTAATCCACGCGAGCACGCTTACGAAGACTGTGGCCGCCCTTTTTGGGCCCATGCTCACCCTCATCAGGAATTGGATAGTTATCCATAGTAGTAGAACGCTTCTTGGCATTCGAATTGCGACTACTGCTTGGAGAAGAGAAAGTGAAGGCGTGTTGGAGAGGTTTGGCTGAGCGGCGGCCACCAACGCCTACACCTTGAGGCGTTGTGGTGGTATTAGTGTGAGAAACAACAGGACTCGTGAGTGGATTCAGTTCAAAGGAAGCCTCTGAAGTAGAAGTAGGAGAAGCAGAAGCTCCTAACGGACGGCGACGTTGAGGCATCCGGCGCGAGCGATCCATTGTACAGCCAGGACAGGCTTGTAAGTTCTGTCTGGCCCGAGAGAGATTTTGAATGGTTGGATGGGATGAGGCTGGGATCCAAGTTTACAGCAAGGACGTGTAGTTAGTGGCCAGCCGGGCCCGCGAGAGGCGTCATGCGAGTGAATCCACGGGACGGGTAACTTAGTACGAGCGCAATGCCAAATATCAGGGAATACGTGCGAGCGAGCCTGAAAATTTATAACCAGACAGGCGCAGCCTCGAAAGAGGATGAGGCTCAAAGTGCGTGGATATGAATGAATGAATGGGATGAGCGTGTCGGATGGAGTAAGAGAAACAAGCCAGGGCAGAGAAAGAATTTTGAAGTACAGGACAGGGAATTGGCGGCAACTTGCAAAAAAGGACAAGACACGACAGACGGGCCCGAGTAAAAGTAAAACGCAAGACAAAGGCTAAGAAGACGCCCTTAACAATGGGAAGTGACCTGATACGCACGCCTTGATACTGGAGGCGACGGTTTAACCAAGAGTGCAGTGCAATATATGACAAGAGGCGTGTGTGATGAAGACGGGACGAGACAGTCTCCTTTTGGCTCTGATGTTGGTCTCCCGTCGATTTTCTCAAGGTGTCGTGGTCTGGTCCATCCGAATAAGCCAGCCAAGGCTAGACCCGCCTGGGGCCTCTTCTGTTAGTGGTATCCCGGCCACTGAGAGACCCAATCTCTCACAAGGCTCAGGGACCTGGCAAACCCGTCAGTACGTACCCGCCCCAGCGACCCCTTCTCCGGGGTTCCTCCAGGCCAATCAGGCAATTCTATTTCCACGGAACTACACGGCGCTAGTACAAGTCAGGTATGAGCATGACCGTGTCGTCTGCTGCAAATCACTGGGTGCTAGTGGTTGCTTTTACTGTTGTAAGTCGCCGGTCAGCCAATTACAATACTTGACGAGTACTCCGGCTGAGCTGTTGGTGAGGCTTGATGCCCACACAATTAGGTGTCATTGGTGAGTAGCCGACAAGTAGATGATGTTTCAGTAACATCAGCAATTACATCTGACAATCTGAAAGAAAAGTAATCCAGGAATGCGATGATATCATTAACTATGGCATGAGATCTCACTTACACGAAACATTTATCTACATCTGTGTATGCTGTTGTCCTAGCTCCTCACTATAGTGATGTAACCGCCATCACCCATTCGGAAACAGCACGTGTTAGACGTTCCTGCCTTCCCGGTACTCCTGGACCCTTGCAGCTGTCGGTGTCGTACCTACCTCTCCAGAGCTCCAACCATCTCCCTTAGGAGTCCTCTCTTTTGCGCCAAACAACCTTCTTTCAACCCCCCGCCTTTACCAAGTCATCAGCACGACAACTTTCGACACTTGACGCGAAGTCAATTCCACATCAATACACTCTTTCTAGGTCGCAGCTGTAGCAGGTCTCTGCAATTATGGCGTCGAAAAAGACAAAGCCCACCGCCGCTGGTGACGACGTCGACATTGACGAGCTGTTGTCTGGCCTTGACCGCGATAAGAAGCCCAAGAAGACAACAAAGTCTAAGCCGACCTCTGCCGCATCCAAGGCACTTGCCGACCAGGATATTCTCGCCGACCTTGAATCGGAACTGGCAGAGCAGCCTTCACGACCCCATACTCCCCGCCTCAAGGATGCTACCCGTCGTTCCACAGCAACACCCCCCGCTGGCGACCCTCGCAAGTCTACCGATAGTGCACGCAGCCTGAAAGCAACATTCACACCAAGCGCTACGAGCTCAGAACTTTACGAGAACGAGAAGAAGCCGACATCTGAGCCTGTTCAGCAAGAAACTGCCCCTCAAGCCTCTGGTGGAGGATGGTGGGGTGGCATTTTATCCACGGCCAGTGCTGCTATGAAGCAGGCCGAAGCCGCTGTCTCACAGATCCAACAGAATGAAGAGGCCAAGAAGTGGGCAGACCAGGTCAAGGGAATCAGGGGACTTGATGTCAACACTCTTCGAACCTATGGTATGTTCGAAATGACACTGAATTATGAATCTCTAGCTAATTAAGGGTTTTAGGTGATGAACTCCGACACCGTGCTCTACCTACCTTCACCAACATCCTCCACACGCTTGCGCCACCTATCAGTTCCCATGAACGACTTCTCATTCATATCACCCACGATCTTGTCGGCTACCCGTCACTCGACCCCCTGATTCATAACGTCTTTGGCCATGTGATGGCACAGGTTGAAGGCGGTGACCTTCTTGTCATTCAGCGTGGCCAGGAGAGCCACTCTCGACGTAGCACGGAAAGTATTACTGGATGGCACGATGGCCCTTGGTGGAGACAAACTGATACGCCCCGTGAGCTGGGATTGATCAAGGGTTTGCCTGAAGGAACCAAGCTTTGCCGCGCCAACGCCGAATCGCATGCGAACGAATACTTCTCTGCCAATGGTGGTGTCGAAGCAGCCAAGCACAAGGCTACCGAAGATGTGAGCGAGACCAACCCTGTTAGAACCTCGGATCTGTTCCTGGCTGTCCAGGCAATCTCAGTGGATGAGGACAAGAACCTGTTCGCTCGCACTGCTTCTGCGGAGAAGGAGAAGGACTCTTCTGGTGTTGAGGATCAAGATGAGAATGAGGAACTCATTTGTTTCGCTGTTTTCATCCTGGATCCTGTTCATGACATTGAATTTTATACCGTCAGCCAGTCTGTTCCTGCTCGATGGGTTCAGTGGCTCGATACACCCGCCCCTCTCACGCCCCGATCTGGCGAGGATGGTGATGTGGCCGACGCCAATATTCCCGAAGAGATCAGGGATATCATTGAGAGCGGTGGCGTTGACCCTCGAGAATGGGTCGCCGAGTGGCTTGAGGAGCTTCTCAACCTTTCTATCGGTACTGTTGCTCAGCGATATGTGGCGCGTCGCATGGGTGTTGGTGAGGGTGGGCTGGGCAGGGGCAAGAGAAGGATGGAAGATCTCGTGCAGGACAATGCTGGTGAGGCTGCACGTGCTGGCGTCATCTAAACAGCGTGCAGGATAAACATTAAAGTATGTTGTATGACAAGGTAGGTTGGGCGTTGGAGTTTGCGACCGGCAAATGTAACCTTCGGAAGCTTAAGTGGGCTTGGAAATATTTGAATACTGGGTTCTCTTTTTATCACGCAGGGCTAGGATCGCTTTGGAATCTTCACTGTCATTAATATCAAGCTGGACTTTGAATGTCGACTAACTCGACTATACTATACCCGCATCTAAAGCCTGAACGTAGAATTCTATCCATATTCTAAAGCAAAGTCTATGTATGGCCAACTCGATGGACTGTTCCAGCTTTCTTGAGCTCACCTCTAGCCTCTCTGGTGGCGCCTTCCAGGTCAACCTTCTTCAACGGCCGGTAGACGGGATCCCACATCTGCTCTCTGATCCACTCCTCCAAATCTTCTTCCTTTTCAGGGATGCCATCCTGTGTAGCCTCGCCATCCTTGACAGCTGCTTGTATCACATTGCGGGCAATGCGGACACTGACATCTCGCACTGAATCCACGTCTGGGAGAAGAGGAGCCGTTGAATCTTTGAGAACAGGGCTCAGTGAGGAAACTCCTTCCACAGCGGCTACAAGCATGCGATCTGTCAAGTGCTTGGCTCGGGAGAGCACGCAGCCGAGACCGATGCCTGGGAAGACAACTGAGTTGTTGCATTCGCCGACATTGATGGTGATTTCAGAACCGTCTTTGCCCCAAGGACCTTTGACGGGCGGGAAGGGTGAGCCTGTGGCTACAAGAGCTTTTCCATTTGTCCATCTGAGAATATCTTCGGGTTTGGCCTCATGTAGGCGAGTAGGGTTGGAGAGAGGAAGAACAATAGGGCGCTCGTGGTGCTCAGCCATGGCACGGATGATATCTTCGGTGAAGGCACCGGGCTTGGTAGACGTGCCAACAAGCACGTTAGGTCGAACCTCTTTGATCACGGAGAGGAGATCAGCGTCCTTGTCTTTCCACTCTGAAGCGTCCTTGGTAAAGATCTTTTGAGAATCACTGACACCTTCGGTTTCCGACGTAAGGAGACCAGGCTTGTCAATCAGCCTAGAAAGTCAGTAGTGTTGTGTCTGGTGGATGTACGCCTTACCAGATCTGCTTCGCTGCCTCCTCATGGCTCATATTTCCTTCCGTAGCAATGGCATCTCGAACTTGATCTGCGATACCAAGTCCAGCACTACCAGCTCCAAAGACGACCATTCGAAGATCTTTGAGCTTTTGCTTGCTGACGTGAAGACCTGACAAGATAGCTGCGAGAGTTACACAGCCTGTTCCTTGAACATCATCATTGAAGCAAGCAAAGTCTGGACGATACCGATCAAGAATCTTCCTCGCTGTTAAAACATCAATGTCAGGAAATGCCACCAAACTGCAAGGAAGGGTGCGTACCATTGGTTAAACCAAAGTCCTCAAAGTGGATGTAGGCCTTGGGATAGAGCTTCCTGGCAGATTGCACAAATGTGTCGACAAACTTGGCGTACTCCTCACCACGAACACGCTTCTCTTTGAGACCGAGATATAGCTCATCATCGAGAAGTTCCTTGTTGTCTGTGCCGCAGTCGAGGACAACTGGAAGGGTTCTATTGGGATGGACGCCTGCACAGAGAGTGGTGAGGACTAACTTGGCGACGGAGATGAGAATACCGCCAACGCCTTGGTCACCGATGCCAAGGATCTCTTCACCGTCTGGACATCGCGTTAGTAGCTAATAATATGAAGGAGAGAAGAATAAACAGACCAGATACGACAATGTAGTCAATATCTTCAGGGTTTCCCCATTGAGCGAGGTTGTGATGCACATGATCTGGGTCTCGAATGTTGAGATAGCAACCTTCGGGACGTCTAAAGAGTCGAGAGTAATTCTGGATAGCATCGCCTTCAGTCGGTGTATAGACTATGCTCATCATCTCATCGAGATGAAGTTGCAGAAGCTTTACACAAGAATTAGCATTACGGTCATATCGGAACAATGCACGAGTGGTACCTTGAAGTACAGAACC